TCTTTCGGTTGAACCAACTATATATTCAGGATCCTTTAAGGTAACCCCCAAAAAGGAACCCGAAAAAAAGGAACTACCATGACTACAGGGACTTGGAGGATCATGGAACTTAGTAAGTAGGGTTATAACTAAGGTAACTATACTTATAACCCCAATTAGGGCGCTTATGATCTTACTTACTAAGTCCCATGATCCTCCAAGTACGGCAGTTGGGGCAGCCGGCTTAAAGGTTTTGGGCTCAGATTGTGCGCACATTTTTGTCACTCACCCCAGAAGTTTATGAGCAACCGAGCCAGAACCGAGCCAGAATTTCAACCCCGTGGAATAGCTATCCAGAGTCTGCTTGTTCGGGAAGTCAGATCTGCACGCACAGATCACCGGCATGCGGTGGGGATTGCATGCTACTTAGCTGAGCCCACGCGCACCCCATCCGATAACTTAGGTAGAAGCAGGTGCCATACAGTTACCGGGCGCAAGCGAATTACCATCAAGACACACGGGTGATGAGGGTGTGGGAATGATCATTAGAGTAGTAGTTATCACTATCCTATGACAGTTCCCATCATATAGTTCTGGGGTAAACCAACCCCTTGCTTGAGATGTTGAGGCCCCCTTGGCACACCTTGTCCGCCTTTTTTTGGCGTGCAGCATATCCTATAGCGATATGACGAAGACAGCTGAGCGTCGTGTGAGTTTCTCTGGTCCAAGCTTCGGTGAGCGAACGCGCTCGACTTAGCTCTCAGCCATGTCCGTGTATGTGGTGGGCAAGAACAAGGCTGCCTTCATGGACGCGTGCGCCAACGCCGGCGGAGCCTTGGCGTGTAGCGGCACTCCTCAAGACTAATAGCAAACTATTGGCGCATGGGCCAAACCATTCATCGATGGAGGTAGTTTGATCTTTCACACTTGACGCGTCGGACGACTTGCCTGTCCATTCATGCATCATCCATTTGCCTATCTGTGTCGCTCCACGGCTTAATGTCTGTATCTCGTGACCAATCTGTCAGTCGGCTTCTCCAACGGTCTTTGTCAGTGACTTGTCCGTCCGTCCTTCCCTCCAGTGTGAAATGTTAACACGAGCGCATGCGACCTAGAGGGGAGGCAGGCTCCAACATCTCTTCCCATGTAAGCAAACAACAAGTCTAGAGTTTACATAAGAGTAGGAAACCATCTCGGAGATCAAGATGCCTAAAGAAACATCGCCAAGCGTGTGTCCCTTTCCAATGAACAGTGGTGGTATGGCACTGAACAAGACTGACTTTCGAGACTGTTTTCCAATGTCTTCAAATGTTTTCAAGGTCTGGGAATGAAGCTCACGGACTCGCTCGATGGAGCTGCTGGCGTCATCGTGGTGTGCGATCTCGTGGAGGGCATCACTATCGAAGAGGAGACCGAATTGCGGCGGGCGCTCCAAGCCGGAGCCCGGGCCGCCATCTTCGTGGACAACTTGGACAAGGCGATGGAGAAGACTGATCCCGAAGGTGTCTACCAGGCGTGTGCCCGGGCCATCGACAACGTGAACGTGATCCTCTGCATGTATTGCAGTCCTAGCACCGGAGATCTTCAGGTCTATCCTAACTTCAAGGGCGGAGTGGCGTTCGGCAGTGCTTCGCAGGGTTGGGGCTTCACGGTGCGCCACTTCGCCAAGATGTACGCCAAGAAGATGGGCGTGAATGAGAAGTCGCTGTGCGACAGACTCTGGGGCGACAACTTCTTCTGGGCCGAAAATAAGAGATGGGTAGTTGAAGCGTCTCCACGCGGTGTGAGCCGCCCGTTGCCAAGGGCATTCTGCCAGTT